GGGCTAGTGGAGCGAATCGAGTCTCACTTGGGTGGGGGGGGGGGCAGAGGGCCGCCTAGGGCCCCCAGTGGGGGTGCCCCCTGGAAGCCACAGATATTTGATGAATTATGGCGAATTTTTATTACTTATTTGATAGGCATCGAGTTACTATAACATGACTTCATGTAGGCTATGCTTTCTAATGTTGAAATCAGCTTCCAAAACCGAAACATTTTGAATGAAAGAAGAAACAAAGAATATGCAATGTAACCATCTAATTAAGTGAAATTCTATATTTTGTAAATTTTGCATGAAATCTGTCAACCACACTTTCATGGTCGAGGTTGCTTCACCTATCATTTGTCATAACAGAATGCAAATTATCTTAAATTAGTCTCATTGAATTATTATTATTATTATTTTTCCACTTTATAGGACTCACTGATGTGGCTTTTAAAGAACTTTTGACAGTTTTTTCGGAGTGGTATGACCAGCGGGGATACCTCAGTATGCTGAAAGTTTTGTATAGTGACTTAGTGGATGCTAGTTTATTATTCACAGCTTCAAAGACAATGGATTTAATGTACATGTTGATGGCATGTGGAGAGCTTGATTCAACAAATCTCAAAATCATCTATGATACCATAAATTCAACAGCCACATATGGTTTGGAAAAAAAAATTAAATCTCAAATACCATCATGCCCAAATATTAGAGATGTAATAATCTCAGAATTCACACCTCACAGGCAAAAAATTATGAAGTTTGGAATGGCACTGATGGATGACGATATAGTAAAGATTAGTGAACTGTATAATAAACCAGTAAAGGAATATGCAGACACATGGAGTTTGATTATGGATCTAGAACGCCAAATGGTAATTTCTGAAGCAAATAATGAAGACTTCATTGAACATTTGAAGAAAAATGGACTTCATCAAGCAGTAAATGCACTAACAGAAGGTAAATGTTGTTAATGAATAAAATAAATATTACACTTAAGTAACTAATGTTTGTTCCTTTCCATGAAATTATTATAAAGAGGCAAAAACTAATCAAAGTGAGAAAACAAGATGAAAATACATTGCAAATACACAAAACTTTCATAGATCCACATCACCCTTTTAAAATAAATTATTTAACATGGAAAAGCAGAGGATCATCCTTCAAGCATGAAGGTTCATTTCAGGGTATCCCCAGATACAAGCAATAACAATTTGCATTAAACAATAGAATAAACAATTTATTGGAAAAAATAATCAGCCATATAGACTTCAAAGAAAGAATACAGTATTTCCTATCACTTACAATGAAATCATTTATTATGTAAATGATAGCACACAAAACATGTGTGCTTCATCTTAGTTTGTAAACAAATTTACTTCTTGTGGCATTATCATTCATGAGAGTACTGTAAATAATGTCATTTAAATAATGAATCCAATATTTAAAGTTCACTGAATTTAAAGCCATTCCTTATCAACAGGTTTATGTGATATTGTTTTAATTAATATTATTATTATTATCATTATTAATATTGTTGTTGTTGTTACTGTATCATTATTATTATTATTATTATTATTATATTATTATTATTATTATTATTATTATTATTATTTTCATGTAAATTTAATGAGTATTCTGGATGAACTTTTGTATTTCTGCTGATTTCTTTTTACATAAAATTCTACCATGCCCAATGTGTACAGTATATGTTATATGTAATATTTTTTTAATAGCTTACTTTCATATTTCAGTATGAATGCTATAGTTTCATACAGAATAAACAATTCTTTAATTATTAGTGTGTGTCTTTCTAGTCTAAAAAATACTAGACTGATATGAGTTTTATAATTATTTATTGTAACAATAATATTGAAAGTGTAGATCAGTTCAAATGTCTTGGTAGCTGTTTTTGAATTGGCATAATGTTATTGAGCAGTGGCGGACCGTCAATGCAAGCAAGGTATGCAGTGCATGCCCTGGCTAAAACAAATAAGAAAATATAGTACTGTAGTACAGTTTCTGCATTCGATTTAGCATTTCTTAGTCACAATCTTTTATAGAAACCTTAATTTTTTGAGTGGATTGCTGTAGTTGATTGGAAAAGCAAAGTTTTTCAATGTTTGGCCTACTTTGGTATCTAGGATAAGTCACATCAAGGAGGTTTATATACCTCCTTGGTCACATTCTGGCCTATCGCATCATACTCTCAGATGCTTAGAATTTCCACATGGCTGGTTTTCAATATCAACCAATCACGTATTCAGTGAGTCAATGGAAGTCAGAGCATACCCTACATGGCTTAAATTTGCTATTGTGACAACCGTGTGGTGGCGTCAGAATAGCCAATTTAACATTGGAATGGAAGCAGTGCTTCCAAGAGTATGTGCGCATGCTCTTCTTCTCGTACATCAGGACCTCCACTTCTGATCAGGTATTAAATCTATATGCCTAATCTCAATGATTAAGGTTTAAATAAATTTTCATGCGTACAGTATAACTGGTATAGAAGAAACTTTGAATTAATATTATTTGAATTGAAATATATTAAAATAGAGGAATAGGAATTATTTTGAAAATAAGATAATACAACCATGGCGGTGTTAAAAATAACATACGTTTGTATTTTGGCTATAGCGCAATCTCATTGGTATGGTAGTAGGCTTACAAACTTTTCCTACTGGCAGGCCCTAGCATCAGTGGCATAGGGGTCTTGAAATGGAAGGGTGCTGATGGATTGGGAAGGTAAAGTGGGGATCGGTGATTAGGTGAGGTGGGCTAACGCACAAAATAAAGTGATTTGAGGTGATTTTTAACGACTTGAGCATGATTTGTTGGCGGTGGATGGGCGAGTGTTTTTATCAGTGGGAGGGGCGTGCGCGACCCTCGCACATCCTAGATATGCCAATACATAGCATACCCTGCAATTTACACTACGGTCCGCCACTGATGATGAGAGCAGCCTAGCTCAGTTGGCTGTTGGACTGATTTTGAATAAAAATACAATTTTATTTTTGGACAGTTAGTGCACTCTGCCAAAAAAATTAAATTTTATATTTATATTTATATTTATTTTTATTACCCCCTCCTCTCCCCTGAAATCTCTGAAACTCATACACTCTTTAATTAATGCTGCAAAATCATTTAAATAAGAAAACAAAATTTTATTTTTGTTCCACCATCCTCTGACGATCTTCATTCACATTGATGTGCCGAGTTCAAATCCACACTCTTGTAACGAAAGTATAAACAAACACACGATATAAAATAAAAAATTGGATTTAATCCTTTCCTTCATAAACTGTTAGTTCATTTCATGAAATAATTTAACTCAGTTATATTGCCATGGAATATAACAACGATTGATTTGCATATAAAACATCCGATCATGAACCAGTACATTGGCTCTTAATAAGAAAGCCACACTTTTTCAATCACTATGTACCACCCATATGAAGACGGCTATAAATTAAATATAAATAACAAATTGCCAAAATTTTTAGGAACTTATTCCAAGTAAGCCTATCATATACTAAAACTAATAATATTAATCATAATTAACTTGTTCTTTATGTAATGATTAAAGAAATATTTAAAACTTATATTGGAATTCTCTGACATATAACATATAGACAGACTTGCACTAATACAGGGGTAATACGCAACTCCTAAAATGACACCCTTTTTTAAAATCTGAATGTTGTTATTCATCCAGTAAGTGTTAACCCTCTAGATACCGTCTTCGACTGTAGTCGAAATTGACCTTAAACCGAGAATTCCCATTTTCGACTGCAATCGAAATTTCGTGACTAAAAAATAGCTGGTTTTCAAATCGCTCTTCTGTTTTTATTTTAGCTCCAATACGTCAGAAATTTTGAACACGCATGCGTGAAGCTTTTGTTTTTCGAAGAACTCACATGCGCTTATATAAAAATTTTTAGAAATATCAATTTGAAATCGTTATTAATTTCAAAAATTTTCCGAAATGGCCGCACAAGATGTGTACACAGCTGAGCGAGCGATTGACCTGAATTTTGATTCAGACAGCGATGAAGGTGAATTTTTAGATGTGCGAGACTTAGACGTGCCTGTTAGCGATGATAACGATGGGGCTTCAAGCAGTTCTGACGGCGGAGATATTCTTGATGAAGATGAGCCTAGGCCTAGAAATGTGAGGGTAGTCGACGCTTTTGAATGGAAAGATCGCGCTTATATTTATGGATGGTTGGGTAAATAAATTATATAACTGTGTGGAATAGGAATGTTTTATATTTGTTTTT